GAGAGAGAGAGAGAGAGAGAGAGAGAGAGAGAGAGAGAGAGAGAGAGAGAGAGAGAGAGAGAGAGAGAGAATGGAGACAGTTTGGAGGGGTGGTGAAAGGGGTGGGGCGCAGCGTTGGGAGGGTAAGGAAGGGTTGGGAAAGGTGGATGGAGGCCGGGAAAAGGGCAGGGATGCATGGAAGAAGGCTTTGAGGGAGGTTGGGAAAGGGCAGGAAGGCGTGGAAGGAGGCTCAGTGGGGAGGGAGTTGTGAGCCTCACCCAAACCCTTTCTTTTCATTTGTTTTTTTCGTAATTCTCACAGTTGAAAACACCTTATAGTTTTCGTACTTGCCAACCTTGTTTTGTAAGTTGCGGCTTGCATGTTGCAACAATTTTCCTTTTTTTTAAAGAAAAATGCCTTGGAATTTTATTTTAAGAGGGCCCAGTGCCCCAGGCAAGATATATCAGCATTGAAAGAAGATTCAGAGGTTGGAAGGTCTCCAACCATCCTTCAAGTTGTCAGGTGGAGCCCTACTACTGTAGCAAGACCTGAGAGCACAAAAACTACCACACTAAATATAACGATGAACGACTAAAGTCAAATACGAAAAACGAAAGCTAAAGCAATGAAGATATCTATACCGAGGGGAGAAAGAGAATTTGTAAAAGTACACAAAATCTATGTGACGAACTACTTTCTGTAGCGCGCGACTTTCTGCACAGTTACAATGAGGGGTCCTAAGCTGGGAAGGTTGGGCCAATTACGGGAGATTGGGATGGATGGGAAATTGGATCAGTACCCTTGCTTCTTCGTCTTTTGCGTCGATTCTTTTCGGATGGCTGGGTTCAGGGTTGGGTGTGTCACGGGACAGGTGATTGATTGGTCGGATGGCTGGCGCGCCGCCAAGCGCGCGACTAATAAATGTTGACGTCATTTCTTTTTGGTTTGGATTTGAAACTTTCGGGCGCGGACATCGCGCGGAAATTTCCTTCGTTTTTTTTTAATTCTTTTTTTAATTTTATCGAACCCCGATGTCTCTCGGAATTTCGGACTTTCTTTCCGGAACTTGTGCTTTTTGCTTTTTCGCATTAGTTAGGAATTTAGGAATTTTGTAATTAGGACTTTCTTTTGCCGCGAGACGCCTTTTGCTTACGCGCTTCTTTTATGCGGCTGCAACGAAATTCTGATTAGCTGGCGCCTTTCATCGGGTGTGTAACTGTAATTTTGGGTTGGTGCCATTGTAACTGTATCTTTCTTCTTGTGCTTCGTCTTTCCCGCCCTCCTCTTTCTTTTGCTACGTTTTTGTAACCGCGGACTGCATGCTCGGAGAGATGCATGGAGAGTGGCTACGTCCCCCACGCCGCGGCCCGGTCATGCAGAACGCAGGCGTTCCCTCTCTAATCTCCCTCCTAAGTCCTGGTAATTCCGCATTCTTCGCGCAAGCATGCACGCTATAAATTCCGGCTGCGCGATTAGTTAACTTTCTTAACCAGCTGTTGGAAGCTTGGGGTTGCGCGATCAGAGAGGGTCGGCACACGAGCGAAGTAAGAGGTGAGAAGAGCAGGAGTCGGGCAACCCGACGAGCTGGTGCCAACCGCGCGGGGTTGATGCGGGCCACGACGGAGGGCACGGGCGAACCTGACGGGTGCTGGAGGACTGAGCGGGGTGACGGCTTCATGGGTTGGTGCGCGACGACGGACTGTCCGCATCGGAGAAGAAGAGAGAGGAAGGGAGAGTTGAGGTTGATGGACACAGATTTGTTGTTTCTTGTATCTTTTCCCCCTCCTGTCTCGTGTATATAAATTTTGATTTCGGCTGCGGGCGATCTGCCCGTTTTCTGGTTTTCGGAATCTGGACTTGGGTTTTGATCATACTTGTCTTCGCAATTTCCATCTCCGATGCACTGTGTGTATGTTGTTGAATGAATGAATGTATGAATGCCATGTTTGGTTGCTTATCTTTCTACCCGATCCTTGTCTCTTACTTTTTGCATTTGATGCACTCGTGAGTAGGATAGGAATTTTGCGCAATCGGTAATCCTACTCTCGTTTTTGCTCATCTTTTGATTGGACGGTCGTGTCTGTTGCATATTGCATACTCGATGATTACGGAGTGATTAGACAGTCGGATGTCTAGCTCAGCGAACGCCGCGCGAAGACGCGTGTAACGCGACTTGATCCGCGCATTTACACGCGCCCCCGTGTGTCGATTCGTCAATAAAGGTGGCATAAATACTGTCTGATTGGATACGGCCATCCGGGGCCTGCAACGGAGCAATCATCCCGGGCGAACACGTGTAAGCGCGACTTGATTCGCACCGGCCTGCACGTGCTCACACGCGGTGATCGCAATCGCCCCAGCCCCGCCCTTAGGCAACTCATAACTCTGCGATGATACGATGACACGCTCAGAGAGCTCGGAGTCGTTGTTATACGACCCGGACTACTTCACCCCGTGGGTAAACGAAATCCTGCGACAGAGATACCCTTGCCTAACCGAGAACCGCCTGTGCCTTTGGGAGTTTCACTGCGCCACCACTAGCGACCCCCGGTGCTCTGATTTCCCCTCTCTGGACCATACCTACTACTTCACCCACCCCGGATTTGTCATTATCTCCACCAGTTTCCCTTCCTTTCGCCTTCTTCTCCCTTATCACCAACTCAGCGTCGTCCCATGGCCGGCCATAGCCCCATACTGGCCCAATACGCCCTGCGGAAACTGCCGACGACGCGGCGAGCAGAGAACCCCGGAATCCCGGAGGCCCAACCCAAACGCATGACGACCGGCGCCACGCGGCAACTCCCGACGGCCTGACTCATCGGAACCCCACCTACCCCGAAGGGACCCGCCCGCAAACCGCCGTCCCCGAAACCAATGGCTCGCTCGGCCTTGAGCGACCCACGCATACCATCTGCCTGGTAACCAGAGGTGGTCCGCCCTCTCCGCCAAATTGCACTCGTGCCCCCGAAAGACCTTGCCACAGGAGCTCTCAGTTCTGACCTGGGACTCCACCCCCACTTTCCCAAAAATCCTTGACACACCCCTTTTCACACTTCCAGACCCACATCCTACTCCGATCAGGAAGTCGCGCTGGGCGTGAGGTTGGTATCGGAGCTCGACACGTGGCCGGGTCTTAGGATTACTAGCACGCTAATTGGGCAATCTGGCTAACCGAGGGCGACCTCGACCCCGGAACGTGCATAGACGCGACCCCGTCACCACACGAAGTAGATCGGGTAATCGACGGGCAGCCAACATGAATGTTAATGTACAAAACCCGAATCCGCAACAGAATGTTAATCAGCCAAATCCTAATCAACCCGCCCCACGAGTGCGGGCTCCCATGACGCCACCTGATCTTTATCTATTCGACCCTGCACATCATCTTGCAGGAGCATGGTTGGCCACGCTCCGAGCCCAGTAGTATGATGATAACGAAGCGTATGTAAACATTCCTGCTCGATTAGGAGGAGACGCTCATCATTGGTTTAGTACCTATGTATGGGTTGATCTTCCGACCTTCGAACGGGATATTCTGAATCGATTTGATTATGTCCATCGAGAGCAAGCCCTTTACATGATCAAGGACCGAGTGCAAAAACCTCTCGAGTCTGTCGCAGAATACCGAAACCGGTTCTACCGAATGTTTGTGAAGACTGAGCGAGGCGAGCAATTCGCAGCCAAACGATAAGGGCGAAGTTGCGAAAGCAATTTTCCCCCATCAACCATACGTTGCAACAGATCATGGCTGCTGCAGAAGAAATGGAACGGAAGTTCGCGGCGAACTTCCTGGAAGGAGAAGACTATTTTAGGGAAGGAGATTCGTCCGAACTTGCGAGAGCGAGAGCTGAGCTGGCCACATTACAGAACAAGTTTGAAAATATGGGATTTGTGTCTGGCCCAGTCACCTATCTAGAACAGGTGGGCCCTAAACGACCAACCCCAAGTGAGATCCCGAGTGTCCCTGTTCCTGTGATGCCAACACCTGTAAGAACGGCACCCCCGCCACCAATTGAGAATTCTGTAAGAACAAATTAATCTACTGCCATTTTCGAACTAACCAAAACGTTAATTAGCCTAATCCAGTAAAGCAAAAAGGAACAGCGAAAGCACAACGCTCGGCTAGAAGCCATGATGAGAAACATGCGGCCCATCGCGGTGCGTGCCCCTCCGATTCAACAAGGACTGGCCCCGGCGCATGTTCTCGGAGGAGCTGCAAGCAATCTGAATGTTTGTTATGCATGCCATCAGCGAGGACATCTAGCCCGTGATTGCCCCCACCGACTCCCGCAACAACGGGTCGGAGTTGCACCAATGGCCGCAACTCCTATCGCTAATGGACCTGGAAGGGTAGGAGCCCTGGTGGAAGAGATGGAAGGTGGGGGAAGTGCGTTAGCAACTACGGAAGAAGCCGCTGAGCTCATCCCGTTAGATCAGTATGTATCGCTTGGTTATCCTGGGCTTGGAATGATTGGAACGATCAGACCGGCGCCGGAACCGAAAGAAGTGGCGGAATGGCGACCTTCTCCTGGAGAGATGGAGTCGGGAGGACCCACCTTCGTCACAGGGGAAATCGACGTACTGAACATCATCCGGGCCTTGGATCATCGGATTCCACTTCCGATTGGCCATCTGCTCTCCATCTCAGAACAGGCTAATGAGCGGATGCTACAGCACTGCAAGGCGAACCGAAAACGATTCGCCCTCGCCCGAACCATGAACGTAAAGGCTAAAAGTCCCCTACCAGAAGGAAACATGGCTGGCACGACAGATCCAATACGGGTAGGACTAATACAGAAAGACGACCATTTCCTACGGATTAAACCCATCCCGTGGAAATCTGCGGAATGCGATATTGAAATATGGGGGATTCTGTACAACGCAATCATTGATTCGGGAGCTGCTGTTTTGGCTATCTCGCTGAGAGTAGTTGAGAGGGAAGGTAGGAAAAACGACCTGATCATGCTTACAGAAAAGGATCAGCTCGTTTCGGCAGACGAAGAAAATATTAAAACAGTGGGAACAATGACCAATGTCGCTTTCCGATTGGGAAAAGTGCATGCACTGGGAGATGTCGTGGTGTTAGATGTAAATACCTACGACGTTCTTTTTGGACTTCCCGCTCTTGTGGCATTACGAGAGAACCTGGATTTCGAGCGAAGGACAATCATCCTCCGAAATACAGGAGGAAAACCCTATGCTGTACCTTTGAGACTGACCCTTCGTACTACCATCAACGCAGTTCTGCGAGTTTCACTGATGTTAGCAGGGACCCTCCGTATGATCGTCTGGGAAGACTCCGCAGACGATGAGCCATCATCAAAGGATGCGGATAGCAGTGACGAAAATGATCCAGAAATCTTGAAGCTAGCGCGACAGCGTATTTATTACCCGCCGCCCCGAACGATCGCAAGAACGATGCATCTAACCAGTCGAAATATCCAAAGGACCAAGGCGATGATTTTGGGTGAACCCCTCGTACAGATTTCGAGGATGGTCGATTCCTTTGAACCCCCTCAAACCCAGTACGAAGGAATCTCCGCTCTCCTCGCCCGATATAACGACAAGAAGCACTACTGCGATATAACCGATCTACCAAAGTCCCTATTGACACCTGCAAAAGAGGTACGACTGCTACACTTGGGGGCGGAAGCCAGTTCTTTGGAACCCCCTTGGCGTCTCGAGGTCGAATCAGACGAACTCGGAATAAAAATCGCAACTAAAACCATGCCATAGCAAGATATCTGCGATGGGATCACCCCGGAAGGACACGTGGTCATCCGGGAGGAAGATACCTAGATGATGGCCACAGTGTTCTCCTGGCGATCGGACCATTCGTTCATCTCCTTGCCACCGCTCGATGAGGCGAAACAAGCACGCACGAAGCATATCGACGTACGGATTTGGGACCAGCCTTTTGAGTTTTACGTTCCACAATACGTACCTGATGAGATACACCGAGTGATTGCAGATATTCTGATAGAATATCAGGGAGCGATTAGCGTAACTGATACGGACATTGGCTTGTTGCTAGTTATCCAACACGAAATTCAGACGGGAAATCATTCTCCAATCCATTGCAAGTCTTACCGTTACTCCCTGATAGAACGGAAAAAGGTTCTCGAACGAATTCGGAAATTCGAAGCCAGCTGGTGGATCGAACCCGCCACCGGACCATGGTCATTTCCCGTAGTGCTAGTACCGAAGAAAAACGGATCAATTCGCATATGTATCGATTATCGCAAGCTGAATGAAATCACGATTAAAGATGTGTATCCCCTCCCCCGGATTGATGATTTGCTGGATGCGATTGGATGCGCTAATTATTTTAGCAAGTTTGATATTCGGCATGGCTTCCATCACATTCTGGTTAAGGAGGAAGATCGGCCAAAGACGGCCTTCGTGCTGTTCGAGGGCACGTGGCAGTGGGTTCGGTGTCCGATGGGGATTTGCAACGTGCCTGCCACGTTTCAGCGAGCGATGAACATGACATTCCAGAACTTTGTCAACAAGACGCGGCTAACTCAAGGAATGATTAACTTCTGCGTGATCGTATACATGGACGATATCCTCGTCTATTCGGAGACCTATCATGGGCATGCACAGCACATTGAGTGGACGCTGGGAGCACTGAGGGACGCTGGGAGCACTGAGGGACGCTGGGTTCAAGATTGCGCTCGAAAAGAGCGAATTTTTCCTTTCGGAAATTTCGTTCTTGGGCTACGTCGTGACACGTGGAGGATTGCGGCCTGACTGGAGAAAGGTCGCGGCGGTAAGCGAAGCTCCGGTTCTCGCGTCGCTGACGCAGGTTCGACCCTTTTTGGGGTTGGCCTCGTACTATCGCCGTTTCATCAAGGGCTTCGCTGCAATTGCACGCCCACTAACGAACCTGTTACGAAAGGACCAGCCTCTCAGTTGGGATGCGGAGTGTGAGCAGGCCTTCGCGACCCTCAAGGACGCTCTGGCGACGACACTTATTTTGATCCGGCCGGACCCCTCGAAACAGTTCATTCTTATCACGGGCTGGCAACCGGAAGCTATCTCCGCTATTCTAGCGCAGAAGGGGAACGACGGTCGCGAACACGTCATCGAGTATGCGTCGCGAACGGTGTCGGGCGAACGAAGGAATGACTCAGCACCCCAAGGCGAATGCTATGCAGTAGTCTGGGGAATCCAGCACTTCCATCCGTATCTCTATGGATAGAAGTTCCGCCTCGTGACGGATCACGGGCCTTTGCTGGTCTTGAAGAAGCTCACTAATTACACGGGCATGATTGGACGTTGGGCGGTACGGCTATAGGAGTACGACTTCGACATCATCACCGGAAGACAGAAAGGCACGGCAACGCGGACGGACTGACACGTCTGCATCGGCCCGCTAAAGTACCGAAAGGCGAGGAAATCACGCCGTGGAAGGAGTCGGAACCGGCAAATGGGCTTAAATACGGGCAAGTGGAAGTTCTCCCACGTGGCAAGAAGCAGACCGGTGGAAATGGGTGACGGAAGTAACCTCACTACCCCTCTTTCTCCCATCTCTTCTTTGTCTATTCTCTCCCTGCGTGATAAATTTTGCTATTTTTGCGAAGCAATTTCTCGCGTATACTCTGTCTCCATGTGTCCTAACGGGGAAGAGAATGCGGAATGGATAGACTGCCGACAGTGTGTCACACGAGCCCATGGCTCGTGCATCCAATACCGAAATGACAGTAAACCGTGGTTATGCCCCTTGTGTCGGGTTGACAAGATCCGGACCGAGGCTCGTTTTCTAGATGCCACGTCAGAAGGGTTGGAAAAGACCCGGAAGTTTCGAAGGGCCGAAGTATGGACCGACATCGGTTTGATTGCCACCTTAGTTGGTAACCCCCTCCAGGATTTCACCAAGGAAGATCGGAGGAGGGCTAACGAAAGGGCTCGGGATTATCGATGGATAGAGGGTAGGTTAGAAAAACGGAGAACGAACGGCAGTGGGATTTGGATGGTTGTACCGCATCCGTTCATGAGGTACGACTGGGTGAAGACGGCACATGAAGAAACAGCAACCCATTTTGCTGTACGGATTGCCGAATCAACAATCGACAAAAATGAGTGGTATTGGTCCAATATTCGGGACGGTGTGAAATTCATCGTCCCAAATTGTCAAGTATGTGCTGCTGACAAGGCGCCGATCCAACCTCCAAGGTCGATAGTTCCAACRGTAGTTGAGCGGCTGTTCCWAAGGGTGAGTATGGATACTACCGATATCGTGGTACCCCTTGGTCCTAATAGTTGTGAATATTCAATCTTGTTGGTTTTCGTCGACCATGTTTYGAAATGGATCGAGGCCTACCCGTGTCGCACKCGACAAGYCGCCGAAATCGCGYGGTATGTTAACCGTTYTCTCGGGATGCACCARGATACGGAAGAGATCCTGACCGATAACGGGGCGRAATTCAGGGGGGARGTATTAAGGAACCTGGTCATACACGGTGTCGCTGTGCGGAACACCKCGCCCCATATGTCATAATCCAATGGGCTGGTAGAAAACGCCAATAGGGYGATAAAGRCAGCGCTGCGACGAAACATCGCGGCAYRGGATCCGASGCCCTGGCCCAATATCATCGACCACATCCTAGCGGTCCATCGCGAAACGCCCCACGAATCGACGGGCCTGACCCCCTTTCAATTAAGGACTAATAGCGTCGCTTGCGTTTCAATACCAAGCCTCCCTGATGAATCAACGCTCAACCGCCGGCCCACAAGGGCTACGGCGCGAGACAAGGCCAAGCGACACTTGGAGTTAATGGAACGGTCCCTCCCCAGGCTAGCCCGAAAACACCAGAAAATGACCGAGTTGGCCCATGGCCGACAGGTCCGAAGCTACGAGACCCGGAACGGGAACGCAGGTCCACGGCCCCAKTACAAATTGGGGGACATCGTGCAGGTAAGGAAATGTGCTCGCCAGGGTAAGCTAGCGCCACGATTCTTCGGGCGATTTCGCGTGATTGAGCTCGTACCGAACGGCGTGAACACCGTGCGGCTTGCGCCTAAGGTCTCCGGCAGCAGATCGGCTCGTCCGATCATCCGCCACGCGTCCTACCTTCGTCCCCTTCMTCCTTCCCCATCTTCGCATTCATTCGATTCCTCCTCCGCTGCGAAAGAGGACGACGACTGCTTATCGCCTGTCTCTCCGTCTCCTTCTCATTCTCTCTCTATCACTCCATCGCCATCGCCATGAGTTTTCTTACGGAGCGAGCTCTCGGCGATTCTCTGCTGGTGCCACGRTGTCACATCTCGACGATTSGACAAGTTTATCATCCGCGGCTCAATCCAGATCTTCGGAGACTTGCGCAGTTCTTCTGTACCCAGGGAGTGTACGTGGCTGCTSAGTTTTGTTTTGCAGRAAGTCCCYGGGCGGTTATTTTAGCAGAGGCGATAGGAGTTCATCGGCGATCGGCTCTGGGAATCAGCCACGTGTCTACAGTGGTCGCCTTCAGTGGCGACATCAGCACCATCAGCCCGCTGTGGCATACARCTATCAAGACGACGCTCCGGCTGTGGGCACRGCAGTTRRCGGSGGAGTGGAATCATTGGCKCACGCCCCACGGAGACGACCTTTTTCCCACCGACGGCGTCGATTTYGACGGGATCCGAGCCTTCCAGCACGAGCYAGCGGTGGTGCTCCCAGAACCCGTCCCCTTCCCCCGTCCTCAATGAACCCATCCCCRATCTCCACTTTCGACCTCCCCTCCTTCTTCCCCACTTTCTGGCAATCCRGAGTCCATCCRCATCTTTCCTTTCAACTGGAATCACTTGTTGTCCCCCTCCTCGATCCCCTGCAGTGGAGACGTTGGCGAGAGCACTTCGTTGAGCTATCGGTGTGTCWGGTTGGAGTAAGGGTCACRTGGACGCAGCACGGAGATCACCGCCAGTGGGCCGAGTACCTCGAGCTGCTTATCATCCAAGCGTGGCGAACGGAAGTGGAGGGCGATCTGCTCGGATTCCTCTTCGGATCGGTGYGGCCCGATCACCGCCAACCGATCGTACACAAGTTAACGGTCSCCCTTGCGCAGCTGGCCGACGATCTCCCACTCGAGATCRTCTCGCAGAGCGACGACAGCCCGGTCCCACACGTTCTCACGCGGACCTTGGCGCCATATCTTCAGTGGTCGGCGTGCTTGGAGGAACCAGGAAGCAGCCCCAACCCACCATCGCAGCGCGATTATCTGGACCCGCAMGAGATAGTCGACCTCACCTTTTTCCAAGATCGGACGGCTTCCRAAAACGAGGAGGTAGAGATTGAAGCGGAAGAAGAGAGCTCGGGAGAAGAAGAAGCCGAGGAAGAGGCCGACGATGAAGAAACTCCCGAAGAGGGGAGTTACAGTGAGCAYAGCGAAGGGGAGCAAAGTGAGGAGGACGACAAGGAAGAGGAAGAAGACCAGCAGGAATTAGAGGAGTCGGAATACGAAGGATTTGAGGAGGAAGTGCGTGACGAGGCTCGGGCGCAGGCCGAGGCGCAGAAGAGAGAAGAAATCGCGGCCGGGAAGAGACAGCTGGAGTTCGCCAGCGCAGCCGGCCAGCCGCTCACCGACGATCCGGCCCGGGATCCAGAGCCGCCTAAGCCCGAGGATGGAGAGACAGTTGGCGAGACTTCGGCCCCACCAGCGAGAAGGCGACGAAGCCGATCCCCCTCCCCCTCCACCTCCGACCGCCCACCAACTCGTCCACGTACCGATGCGGGGCATCGGGCTTCGTCCCCGGTCGTTATCCCGCCGTCCCCTTGACCACCTCTCCTTCCGCCAGATCTCTACTCGCGTCACCTTCCCCGCCAATCCCTTTCCCATCGATACCTTCTGCTTCTTCTAYACTACCCGCCTYGTTRTCACTGTTCATCCCCACCCTTCCWCCCGATGCGCCCTCCCCGTCTTCTCCCTCCATATCCTTTTCCTTAGTGCCGCTTGGCGAGGCCACAATATGATCGAGGTATACTGCATGATTACGGGGACTATCCCYGCATGYGAGAATCACGATCACTTCCGCGCGRCCCTTTTTTGAACCTTTACCACCCTCTRTCCCGACTACCTCGCATCCCTMCCCCACACTGGCAACCGATTYCCCCGCTTTCACCGGATCGTTCGCTATCAGGAACTTCYGGAGACGGTGGCCGGAATGGAGAGCTTCCTTCCCCCGTTGCCTATCAACCCTCCCCCTCGCCACCCCTCCATGTACCRTCTTCCCTTTCCCCTCCCCGGCGCCCGCTGATGCATGACTGATGGACACGCRTCAGGACGGTGACACGTGTAATCCCCTCCTTGGATTGTCAAAAGCCCTTCCYGAGGAATTAGTAGTAGAGCTGTATTGCCACGATGGACGACGTCCACACTCATTCRAACGATAAGTGGCATAGAGAGAAGAGCTCCGCGTGWCGATCGATTAGAGAAAYCGACACGTTGTGAGGAAACCCGGGGAGGGGTCACCTACGTTTCGCCGAAGCCARGGGCAACGACGCCTGTCACTCGCCGCGCCCGCTTCCGAGGTCCTCGGCGAYCYGTAGGGAATGAGGTTAGAGTGTATAGTTACTTTCCCTGCCTTTATCTTGTTAATTTCGGTAATCTCACAAGTTCACACCGCGCTGAGTTCAGACCGTCAAATGTCCGTTCAGGGAATTTGCCGAGTCAGCAAGTTTGATTGGTCTACTGATCAAATCAGCAAGCTCRTCCCACAACAAGTTTGAATAGTTTACTAACAGTTCTGCCAGTTCACACACTAGGCGGTCCGAATTGCCGAGAAACAGATCTACAAGTTTGCCCACCAACAGATAAAAATAGTCAATTAACAGTCTGGCATATCCGCCCAACAGCAAGTCAGAATGGTCAACTTCAGATCTGTAAGTTCATTCACTAGGAGGTCCGAATAATCAATCAACAGTTCGGCGGGCTYGCACACCAGAGGAATTTTGCAGTCACCAAGAGAAGGAGTAATAATAGTAATTTTAATGTCAAGGAACAGACCYGTCACTCTTCTCTCCTTCCCCTCTCTCTCACACACTTTCACACACACATACACAAAGAAGCAGAGACATAGTCACACTCACTCGAACAGACTCCCCTTGCACARAGAAACAAGCCTRRTGTAAAAGCACGTCCAGTGAGCAGTGAGCACGCGTCCTGTCAATAGCGATCAGGTCTCTGGATCGTCAATCGATAGTGGGCAATCRAGGTCACTCACTGCGCGCACGTTCAAAGGTAGATAGCTGAGGTAAATCTGGTCTTTGCGAATGAATGCCCGTTTGTTACCTTCTCTATACAAAGGGTCCGGCCATGTATCTGATCAGATAATTGTCCCCATTCGATGATCAGATCCGCATGATCAGGTCAATTARCTCTTTTGGTTCGCTGTGGCCTCGCTCTCTCTCACGCACGCTATCCCTCGTCTGCACTGTCCCTCTTCCTTCAAATAGAAYGCATGATGTTGTCTGSGGGGGTACARTCAACAGCGGGGGTTCCAACTTGACAGGGGTTCGCTGGCTTAATCATGCACACACTTACTCTGGCTTGTGATACGTCTGATGCACTACTTGAGAGCTACAGGTGCGGGGGTTCACASAGATCCAACACCCATGCTTTTTTAGAGGTGGCAGCTTGATCTTTGATCAGCAACGAGAATACCGTTATCATCATCATCAGAGATACACTCATCACCGAGCGCCACGTCATCACATAACTGCCACCTCCGCCAGCATCACCCATACTACCATCAACAGCAAGTGGCACATCATCACACAACTGCTCTCGCGCAGCCCCCTCTTCCTCTCTCATTCTCTCTCACTCTCTCTCACTCACTCAGTCCGCTCTCTCTCTCTCTCTCTCTYTCYCCCTCTCTCTCTCTCTCTCTCTCTCTCTCTTTCTTCCTCTCACACTCCTCACTTACACAGTGTGCTTGCGAATCCCCCATCATTTCTCCATGATCTAGCTGATTCCTTGTCTGATGAACCTGACCTCGCTTAGGGCCAGGTGCAAAGAATTTTGTAAACGGGAAAGCAGAGTTGGGGACGCTCTCTCTCAGTCACATTGTCTCTCTCTCACCCATCCGTCCTCTCTCGCTCTCCTTCTCTCACACACTATCGCCCGCTCTCTGACTGGCTGCTTCACTCACCTGTCCGAGTTTGATTCGTCATTCCTGCCAGGCAGGCTAGTTTCCAGACTCGAACTTGAAAGTGCCTGGACGTGAACAGAGTCATGTATATATGGCTTGGAAATGTGAAAAAGAACGTGCGGACTCTCTCTCTCCCGTTTCCCTGCATTGCTCGGATGACTCTACCACCTTTTTCCCTGCGCCGTGTGTTCAAGTCTGGATGTACCTGGTCATGATTAGGTCCAGGAGGATGGGATTTTAATAAAATTAATAATAATATATATTTTTCATCCAGCTAGCCAGCGCTRTCCCCACTAGTCTAMCACYCGCTGGTTTGCTGGCTCTCTTCCTCGCATCTGCCTGTTCTCTAATYCGAGTGYACACCCTCACTCACACACACAGTCTCTTACTCCCACCGTGCARTCCCCTTCTCTCTCACTCCCCCTCTCACACGCGAGTAACCGCCTGAGTGCCGACGCGTCTCCCCCGTGCTTGCAATGCTCCRCAACAGCTATGCGTCGGGTACGCCTGGCATGCCATCCACCARTCCTCTCCCCTCATCCCCCGTGCAACAGTCTGCGCATCGATGTTTCCACCCTGAGCCCGGTATAGCGGGTACGCCTTGCACACTGTCCCCCCTTTCTCCTCTGTCCGGCCCTATATTCATTCAGCATCTGCTTGTACAGCCGAGACCATCGGCACCAGGCTCAACACAGGCTCAATGCGGGTGGTACGTGAGYACCGCCCTCGAGCCAACAAATGGGTGTCGTAGTACCAAGGCCCTTAAGGCCYAGGCACGTCACAGCCGGGCCAGTTCTCAGTTAATCCGTTGGTCAGTTGCTCCTGAATGTCTGTCCCCACTGCAGTAGCCGATTGCGCTGGTTCCGGGGCTGGACTCAAACAATCATTGAGAAATAGGGACCACARACCTGCTACCACGTAGGGGCGAGCAACATGCCGTACTATCCCAAACCTGAATAGCCTGCACCGYACTGGTGCCGAGTCTGACCGAACCTGAAGAGCAGAGTTGGGCTGCTGTATCACGCCATCTCAGGACCGTGCAACCAAGATGTTAAAGTTCCAACCCTGTCATAAACTGCTGTAGTGGCCGCGGCCAGGTAATAAATCGCTGCAGTGTCCCAAACCTGAGTATAAGTCACGGTAACRGCACCGAAGCTGAAACGAGGTATCACGGTAGGAGCGAGTCCGAAATAAACTGATGTTGAACCCGAAGCAACTGTYGTACCGGTTCCGGCCCTGGAAATGAATTACTACAGTGCCCGCAATATGTCTCGGTAATGGCCTCAATCCTGAAACAAACTGCCGTGGTAGCACCGAACGTGAAATAAGTACCCGTGATGGCGCCGATTTGGGAATAACTGCTGTCAAGGTCCCGTACTTGAAATAAGCCTCCGTAGTGCTGCCGAGCGTGAAAATGCTATCGTGGGATGTGCCAAACCGACGCCGACCCTGAAATATGGCGGCCCAGCGGTTCCGGACCGCGGCTGGCTCCAACCTTGAAATAAACTGTCGTAGGGGTTCTGGTCCTGAACATAGATCACCGCTGCGTCCCCAGGGTCGCCGTGCCCATACCGAACCAGAAACATCCCGGACTCCGTAGGATGCAGCCACTCCATAACAGTGTAGAATCTCTTTGAAACCCCTTACTCGTACCAAGCCACATCCCATACTYTCTACCCAAGGTAGCACCACCCCATGTGGTCCATGCGACTCCCGATCTCAGAACACCCCAAMTGTGGCAACGTTAGTATTCAGGMAACAGGGAAAGCGACGCAGGATTCCTCGACCATCAGCAGAAGTGAAAACTGTTAGAATCCGGGGAAAATGATCAATCCAGGGTYAGTGCTGACGGCGGGTATTCAAGGCGAAATAAGGYCAATCTCTCAATAGTCGTGGGTTCCCGCCCCTTTCATCGTTTTTTATATCATTCTTCCTTCTCCTTAATTCTATTGTCGGAAATAGCAAATCAACCGTAAATTCCCCA